GAGAGACGGAGCATAATCCCTGACCTCTGCAATATTATGGGTTAATAGATACTAAGAGAACATGCCAATTTGCTGAGCTGTCAGTGTATTTGATGTCTGAGGGTTTACAAATAATAGGAACCAACCTTAGCTAGTGTGCTAGGAGATTGAGTTGGTCTTAACAGACAGAGAAATTATGGAGTCTATTGAAGAGGATTAAATTCAATAGGAATAAATTAACTTCAAAGGCACAAGTATAGGATATAAGAGAAATACTAAAAAACTACATGTGTGAGAAAGGGCAAAAGGTTTTAGCTTATTTTAATTGTGATGTGATTCATGATATGACAAGATAGCTTTTAAAAGGAGTAGTGAAATCTTAAATTACATTTATACATAACTAGAATCTGAAATATGGAGGAAGACAATCCTACTCTGCTTGAGTATCAGAACAGACCTGTAGCATTGAGTTCAATGTCAAGGCTTTACTTTAAGTTTACTGCCAATAACCTGAAGGGATCCCCAGAGGAGTATCTAGAAAAAAAATGATGAAGAGTTTAGGAAAACGGACATAAGGAGAGGATACTCTTTTTTTTTTTTTTGAGGCGGAGTCTCGCTCTGTCGCCCAGGCTGGAGTGCAGTGGCGCGATCTCGGCTCACTGCAAGCTCCGCCTCCTGGGTTCAGGTCATTCTCCAGCCTCAGCTTCCCGTGTAACTGGGACTACAGGTGCCCGCCACCACGACCGGCTAATTTTTTTGTATTTTTAGTAGAGACGGGGTTTCACTGTGTTAGCCAGGATGGTCTCGGTCTTCTGACCTCGTGATCCACCCACCTTGGCCTCCCAAAGTGCTGGGATTACAGGCGTGAGCCACCTCGCCCGGCCAAAAAGGATAATCTTTTAGCCTCAGAACAAGAAAGCTGTTGATCGGCTATGAGAATTATCTTCAAACCTTTAAAAGGTTTTCATGTGACTCTGACAATAGGAAGAATTTTGTAATACTTAGACACAATTGATGAATAAATGTATTTATTTATTTAGAAATTATATATGTTTTTTTAAGTCTTATGATTTGGATGTTTGGTAGTGTTGACAAAAAAAGTCAAACTCTGTAAAATATTTGAGGAGATTTATTCTGAGCCAAATACCAGTGACCATGGCCCATGACACAGCCCCAGATATCCTGAGAACACGGGCCCAAGGTGGTCAGGGTGCAGTTTGGTTTTATACATTTTAGGGAGACACGAGACTTCAATCAAATACAGTTAAGAAATACATTGGTTGGCTCCAGAAAGGCGGAACGACTCTAAGATGTATGGTCTTTCAGGTTATAGGTGGATTTAAAACTGTCCTAGTTGACAGTTGGTTGAGTCTATCTAAAGACCTGGGATCAATAGAAAGAAAATGTCTGGGTTAGGATAAAGGATTGTGGAAACCAAAGTTCTTATTGTGCAGATGAAGTGTTGGGTAGTAGGCTTGACAGAGACTAGACTGTAAGTGTTCTTATCAGATTTAAGGTCTGTGTTGAGGTTGATGCCAGAGAGGTATAATGAGGCATGTCTGACCTCCACTTTCCATCATGGTGCCAACCAGTCTTTCAGGTTCAACTTCAAGAGTTCCCTGACTGAGGAGGAAGTCCATTCAGATGGTTGAGGGGATGCTTAGAATTCTATTTTTGGTTTGCAGTAGATTTTTATGCAAATAATAAATTTGATGGGTGGAGAAATGGAAGATTTTTTAAAAACCCGAATGGAAATTGTAGAGATTAAGAATATAGTCTCAGAAAATACACAATAGGACACATGCTACAGATTAGACACTGCTGAAGACTCGATCAGTGACATATATGCACATATTTATTAATATTACATCTATAACAATCGAAACTATCAGACATAAAGCACACAGAAAAAAATATAATTTTTTAAAAATATGAACAATGTATCAGTGACCTATAAGGCAAAATCAAGTGGTAAAATAACAAGCAATTGGAGTTACAAAAAAGGCAAGAGCTGGATACAGGAGTAGAAAAAATATTTGAAGCAATAATGGCTGAAAAGTTTTCAAATGTCTTGAAAACAGTAAGCCATAAGATTGAAAAGCCAATAAATCTAAAAAAGAAGAAACATATGGAAAACCACACTAAAGTGCATCATAATCAAGTTAGTACTAAAGAGAAAGACTTAAACCCAGACCCAGAAAAAAGACACATTTTGTACAGAGGAACAAATTTAAGAAAAACAATAGATGTTTTTACAATCATAAGCTACTTAAATTAGAAGAAAATGTAGCAACATTTTTAAAGTATTCAGACAAAAAATCCTGTCAACTGACAATTTTATATATTCACTGAAAGTATCTTTCAAAAATGAAAGTAAAATAAAGACTTTTTCAGATAAAATCTGAGAGAATTCATTGGAACTAAATATGTATTACAAAAAATGATAAAGGAAGTTATTCAGTCAGAAGGAAAATGACACAAGGTAGAAATTTGAATCTATACAAAGGAATGGTAAATAAATGGGTAAATATGAGACTTTAAAAAAATACATGCAGCTCACAGAGGCCGGGAGTGGTGGCTCACGCCTATAATCCCAGTACTTTGGGAGGCTGAGACGGGCAGATCACCTGAAGTCAGGAGTTCAAGACCAGCCTGGTCAACATGGTGAAACCCAGTCTCTACTAAAAATACAAAAAATTAGCCAGGCATGGTGGTGGGTGCTTGTAATCCCAGCTACTTTGGAGGCTGAGACAGGAGAATCACTTGAAACCAGGAGGCAAGGCAGAGGCTGCAGTGAGCTGAGATCGTGCCATCACATTCCAACCTGGGCAGCAAGAGTGAAACTCTGAATAAAAAAAAAAAAAAATGCAACTCTTGATTGTTTAAAGTACAAAAGTTAACAATGTGTTGTAAAGTTTATAACATACATAAAAGTAAAATATGACAAAAAAAAAAGCACAAAGGATGGGAGGAGAAGTGAAAGTATATGGTTGTAAGGCTTTTTTTTTTTTTTTTTTTTTTTTTTTTGAGACAGAGTCTCTATCACCCAGGCTGGAGTGCAATGGCATGGTCTCAGCTCACTGCAACCTCCACCTCCCAGGTTCAAGTGATTCTCCCACCTTAGCCTCCCAAGTAGCTGGTACTACGGGTGCATGCCACCACACTCAGCTAATATTTGTATTTTTAGTAGAGACAGGGTTTCACTATGTTGGCCACGCTGGTCTCAAACTCCTGAACTCGTGATCCACCCACCTCGGCCTCCCAGAGTGCTGGGATTACAGGCATGAGCCACAGTGCCCTGCCGGTTGTAAGACTCTTTCACTATATGCTAAATGATACTATATTATTTGAATAAAAATTACAGTAAGTTAAAATATGTATATTGTAATGCCTAAAGTGACAATGAAAAACTTGAAACAAGAGTTATGGATAATAGGCAATAAAGGAGAAAACATAAATTGTAAAAAAGTTCACTTAATCCAAGAAGAGACAGGAAATTTAAAAATTTATGAGGCAAATAAAAAACAAATACTAAGATGATCAATTCAAACTCAATGATAAAATAATTACATTAGATGTAAATGGTCTAAATATTCTGATTAAAAACCAGAGACTGTAATGTTAGATAAAAAATTAAGACCCAACTATAAGCTATCAACCTAACTTATAAATAGATAAAATTAATGTAAGAAAATAGAAAAAGATATACCATGAAAACACTAACCAAAGGAAAGTAGGAGTGACTATATCGACATACAAATTAGATTTCAAAAAAGAAATATAACAGTGATTTTTAAAAACTCACAATGATAAAGGTGTCAATTCATCAAGAGAACATAAAAATCCTAACTGTATACACCTAATAACAAAATTTCAAAGTACATGAACCAAAAAACTTGTAGAACGGAAAGGAAAGATAGAAAAATCTACAAATAAAGTTGGATATTTCAATACTTCTTTCTCAGTAATTGATAGAAGAGGCAGACAGAAAATTAGTTAAAATGTAGAAGACTTTAGCAACATTATCAACCAAACTGACCTAGTGATTGACTTTTGAATATTAAACCTACCTTACACTCCTGGAATAAACCTTATTTTCTTAAGATGTAGTATCCTACTTACATATTGTTGGATTTGATTTGCTAATGTTTTTTAAGGATTTCTACTCTACCCAACAACAGAATGATACACATTCTTTCCAAGAGTATATGGAACACACCAATGTTCTATTGTGTAACAGAATGGTACACATTACATCCCCCACCCTGTACCCATAAAAGCTCCAGTAGTACACGCCCATTCTGTATCCATAAAAGCCCCAATACACCCAGTATTTCCTTACCTCCTGTCTATCACTTCTATTTATGCTGGTTTTAATTTGTTTTTCTTATTCTGGTTTAGGTTGAAATTTATATAATCAGTTTAGTGTTTCTTATTTTCTATTATAAGCATTTAAAGCTATAAATTTTTGTCTAAGCACTACTTTAGCTGCATCCAACACATTTTGATATGTCGTGTTTTTATTTTCATTCAGTTAAAAAGTATTTCTTAATTTTCCTTGGCATTTCTTTTTTGACCTAAGAATTATTTAGAAGTTTGTTGTTTCATTTCCAAAGATTTGGGGTGTTTTTAAGGTATTTTTTGTTACTATTTTCTAGTTTAATTCCTTTATGGTGGAACACATACTGCCTAATTGTGGAGGAAAATTTAAATATTAAATATGAACTAAATGGAACATGGACACAAACGATGGTCACCAAGTCCCGGAACAGGTTGCATGAGCCCCTTGAGGCATTCATCCAGCACTGATTTGGAAAAATCTCTATTTCAATCTATTCCTATACGTTAGTTATTTAAAAAAAACAGACAATTGCAAAAAAAAAGTTGACATTTTTGTGTTCCTTGAGCCCAGTCACAAAGTGCCCTCATGACTGAGTCTTGTGCCAAACAACTGTTACAAAAAGGGCTAGGGTCCCAGACAGCGCTAAAGCTTCATTAGCTCTCTGTTTGTCTGTGCACAGATGAGTGGCTGACTCTGGAGCCCAGGCTGTTGCTTCCCAGTCTGGTGATGAATCCTCCATAGTCTGGTGAGTGTAAATATATATATATATATCTTTTCGCTTCTTCCCTTCCCATTGCAATTTGCTTATTATATCAATTTCCTTATTATATAATTTATTATACATCAATTTGCTTATTATATAATTTGCTTCTTATATCAATTTGCTTATTATATAATTTGCTTATTATATCTGCATTGGCATTTTCGTGGGATAAAGGCTGTTTACACTTAAAGGTATTGTGTGTGTGTCTTTTCTTCTCCTCTCGCACATCTCCCACACAGAACACTAATCTACTATCATTTCAGTACTTTTAAATTTATTGAGACTTGCTTTATTCCCTAGAACACACTCTGTACACTCTATACCCTTAAAATGTGGGTACACCATTTCCACCCCTGGAACCAAATAATTACATTAGATGTAAATGGATCTAATGAAAAGATCAATAAAATTGCTAACTTCTAATCAGAATTATTAACACACACACAAATAAAAGAGAGAGAAAAGGCATGAATTCCAAGGTCAGGAATAAAGGAGGGACCATCACTAAAGTTTATACAGACATTAAAAAATAATAAGAAAATGTTATGAACAATCTTATCCTCGTAAGTTCAATATCTTATGTGAAATGAACAAATTATTTGAAAGACACAAACTAGCAAAGCTAATTTAAGAGAAAATAGATAATCTCAATAGCTCTATATCTATTAAATAGCTGAATTCACAGTTTAAAACCTTTGGGGGGGAAAAAAAAAAACCTCTAGACAAATTAAATTTAATGAAGTTTAATTGAACAAAAAACAATTTGTGAATCAGGCAGCCCTCAGAACCCTAACAGGTTCAGAGAGACTCCAGGGCTGCCACATGGTCTGATAATATTGATAATATTTATGGACTAAAACAGGCAAGTGATGTATAGAAAACAAAAGTGAGATAAGGAAACAGCTGGGTTGGTTACAACTGGATATCTGCCTTATTTGAGCCTACTTTGAACAGTTGGCCACATATGATTAGCCGTGATTCCATTACTCTTGTTACAAAAGTAGGTTATAGCTGAGTGCAGTGGCTCACACTTGTAATCCCAGCACTTTGGGAGGCCAAGGCGGGTGGATTACCTCAGGTTAGGAGTTTGAGACCAGCCTGGCCAATGTGGTGAAACCCCGTTTCTACTAAAAATACAAAAAATTAGCTGGGTATGGTGGTCCGTGCCTGTAATCCCAGCTACTCAGGAGGCTGAGGCAGGAGAATCGCTTGAAGCCAGGAGGCGGAGGTTGCAGTGAGCGGAGATCATGCCATTGCACTCCAGTCTGGGCAACAAGAGCAAAACTCCATCTCAAAAAAAAAAAAAGAGTAGGTTATAATCTGTTTACTTATTATTAGGTTATAGTGCAACATGTATAGAGAAACCTTTAGGCAAAACTAAAAATATGTTCAGAGGCAGCTTGAGGCCAAACTTAATCTAACACCCTCCTACACAGAAAACTTCTGGCTCAGAGGGCTTCATAGGCCCATTCCATGGAAAGTATATCAGTGGTTGCTAGGAGCGGGGAGAGATTCTAGGGAACTAACTATAATACAAAGTGACACAGGAGAGTTTCCTGATCCCCCATCGCAGGACATGTGACAGGAGTGTGGCTCATTTGTTTGGCTACCATACATGCTCAAATCCCTTATGGAATGGGGAGCACGTAGACAGACAGGTGCAGGAGCCACGGCAAGTGCCCCTGGGCTCCGGTCCCATGGCAGCATCCAGAGGTGGGAGCCTGCAACTTCTGAAGCCCAAGAGGGCACGTGTTAAAGTGCACTCTTTTAGCCTTGCTCTCCATGGATGGCTTAAGTGTTCAACAGCCCAGTCCAGGAAGATCAGGTCACACACAGACTTGAAGGATGAATGCCGGTATTTTATGGACTGGTGGAGGCTCTCAGTGGGATGGATGGGAAGCGGAAGAAGGATGGAGTGGGAAGATGATCTTCCCCTGGAGTTTGGCCATCCAGCAGCTGATCTCCTCTCTGACTTTCCCCAGCTGAACTCCTATCGGCATACAGACTCTCCTTGTTGTCACTGCCACGCCATTCTGCTGTACTGCTCTTCTGTTCATCTTCTCGTCTCCTCGTGGGTTTGGGGTTTATATGGGTACAGGACAGGGGGCGTGGTGGGCCAAAAGGCAACTCTTTTACCTTTTATCATTTAGAGCCATTTTCATTTAGGACCTGTTTTCATTTAGGGCTGTGTGTTTCTGGGCTTGGGTTGGGAGGTGGCTTTGCCAGGGAACTACCCTCTTCTACCCAATATTTCCCTGTCTCCTTTCTGTATCGTCTGTATTAAAAGGAGCAGAGAGAATTGGGGGAATTATGAAAACATCCTCTGTCACAATTTTTATGGTGGGCATTTGTTTGTCAGAACTCATCAAATAGTATACTTAAAATTAACAACTTTTATTATATAAAGATTACACATCAATAAAGTAACTTTAAACACCCATTGCATACTATGTCCTCCTCCCATGAGAGCCAGAGTTTATTTCAGTCCCCTTTACTCAGTGAAATAGTTTAAAACCCATTAGATGCTATATTTTTGCTAAAATATTTCTAAGCAAAATTATCACATACACATTATTTTGGTTTTGTTTTTATTTTTGACGCAGTTTTTTGAATTTGGATAATGTAACATATGGACGTTTTTTAAAAAGCCAATACAATATCAACCATAAAAGAATAAAAGATCACTTATCAGGGATGTTATAGAAGAAATTCACGCACAAGGGAGAAGATCGAGCTAGATCAGCTCTTCTCCATCCTGACTGTACTTTAGGGTCATCTAGGCAGCTCCTTACAAACACCAAAACCTAGACTCCACCTCCAGAGGCCCCAATAGTTTGATTCTATTGGACTAAACCAGAAAAATTCAAACGTGACTTCTAATATAAACAGTGAGATTTTATTGCCTTCGGTTTTTCTTTTTTTAAAGTTTAAATGGAGCTAATTTGGCAGCATGATTGTTCCCAACCTCATCCAGCCTCCTGGTTGCCTTGCCAAGTGTATCTTCAAAACCATTAAGCAATATGCTGAATAGTTCAGCAATTATAACTTTAAGATGTAAGTTATAGAGAAATAGAAACACTTTAGACTACAGTTGAGATACAGTATCTCAAGAACATATGTTGAGATTCCCAGATGTCCTAATCCCCCAAGGAACCATATGTAGACATACAGTTATAAAACATCAGAAAGCCCTGAAAATTAATCAGTTTTCACAAAAAGACAGAGACAGACAGAGAGAGAGAGAGAGAGAGAGAGAGAGAAACTGTGCATGTGTTTGTGTATATATCAGTGTGTATCTAATGAGTTTTTATTATTCAATATGCTTCTTTAAAATCTTATTTTCTATGCCTTAATGATGATCTGGAGATCACAATATTTTACAGATTGCCTTATTAGACTCACCATGTGACTTTGAGGAACTAAATCTTTCTCCTAATACAAGCAAGAGGTTGAGGGACTGTTTTCTCCGAAGTTATATGTCAAAAAGACTGAATTTTAAAGTCAAAGAATATGTAAACAAGAAAGTTAAAACATACTTCACTGGGTTGGTCTTTCTTAACTTACCTTTTCTAACGTAAATATATTCTCTTAGTTCTTGTTTCTCCAGTCCCTCCTCAAATTCTTTTCATTTTCTTCATTAATCACAGAGTTTCAGTGATATATAACCTATAGAAAATCCACTCTCTGAGGTCTGACATTGTTGAGCCAGATTTTTGGTATTGCAGCCAGATGAGTCTTTGTGGTTTTCTACTTGATTCATTGTTTGTGTCTTAGTTACTTAAGTAGATTTTATGTTTCTTATATTCTCATATCATTTGACACAATGCAGGGCACTGAATTAATAATATAGGTTTGGATCCAAAAAAAAAATTTTTTTTTACATTTTAACATTTCTGAAATAAAAATATACCTTATGCTTCATTTATTCATTTAATGTAATATTCTTAACATTTCCTAAGATAATGAATTAAATGGAATATCTTAGAATTAAGGAAAGATGGCATTTTTTCACTGATTATTTGTATCCTATGCAGAATATGTAGACTTTATCCTTGTATCAAGACAACAACTTTACATCCTTGTTCTTTACTAAAAAGACCTAAGTAGAAATAGTATATAGAACTAGTAGTAGTAAGGACTATACCCATTTCCATTATGTTAGGCAACTTTTCTTCTCCCCTCCTACCTGTCCAGCTCCATCTTCCCTTCCACACCCAAAGTCACAAAATGACATAACCAGGTTTTGCCTAATTTTCCTATGGAGCTCAACAACCCTAGATGCTTGCCAGTCCAGTCACCAACTTCACGTGATTTCGAAAACATGGACAAACTGAGAAGTTACTTAACAAATCAAAATATTTGAAATCTACCCTAAATAATAAGTAAAAACAGATCTAGAGCCCATATTTCCAATATTCCCGATATTCTTCTGTCTACCACAGTATGCCATTAATATATCCTGCCAGTGACACTAGTGTGGGCTAATACCATTGCTTCAGAACTAGAAGGATCTTATTCAAAACTGAATATGCAGATGAATCTCATGTTTATAAAGCCAGAGTATTTGCAAAACTGTCATGCACAATGCAACAACGTAAGGACAGCAGATTTTCAGGCCTTTGAACTGTGCTTCTCTGTATTTAATCACAGTTTTGCATGTTATCACTGTGGAAAACTTTATATGAGAGAGAAGAAAATCATAAGTATGGCTGGGGGAAATGTTATTTAGTATTAGAAAAGAAATCAGGCTTGTCTAATCACCTGTCTTACTGCCAGAATCACACCATGCTACTATATACTTAAAAATTAGATATTTATTTCTTTCCCTTCTTCTCAGTTTTTTTTACACTTCAGTTTTAATATCTTCCAGCCAGAAGCTGGAAGCAGACATTTCAAGAGATGGACAAAGGGAATAGAAATTTATGCTGCACAAGGTGGACAAATATACATATTCAGTAAACTATAGGAGAAGTCATGAATATTTACAAAAGGAGAAACATGTGCATGCC